TTCAATGTTCAGTGCTGACCATCCATTCCATTTCTGCTGGCACAGCCTTTGTTGAGATATGTTAATGTCATGTGTTTAATTCAATCAAAAACATTTCAGAGTACCTGTTATCTGCTGGGCACTATACTAGGTGCTGAGCATCCAAGGTTAATTATGATCTGAGCCACATCCTCAAAAATTCATCTTCTATTGAAGAAAGCCTCCTCTTTTCTGTTTTTGATCAAGGAGATTGCTTTCTTTAAAAAAAGTGTCTTCTGAAAATATCTAATTTTATCCATTTTGTGCTGATGTTATTTAATTTTTAGAGTTCTGGGAGTAATAAATTGTTACTCTGTATATTAACTACAAGGGGTATTTTGTATAGAGGAGGCAACTGAAGTACTGGGAAGTTAAGCAGCTTATTGAAATCACAAAGTTAATAAGTAGAGGAGATAAGATTAAAATTCTAGATCTTTCTGATTCCAAAGATCACACAATATTTCCTCTATTCCATGCAGAAACTAAAAACTCTAAGACGGAAATATATAAAATGCCTACATATCCCCCCCAATTCAATGACTATGTCTGCCAAAATAAAATCAGCAATATCAAGTTTATATATATATAGTTATACATAGTTATAAATTTGTACAGGGTTTTGAGATCTATTAACTACTAGACCCCCCCCCCCCCTCAATTTAACATGCCAAGAATAAATAATCTTCATTTTGGAAGGTCAGGTCCAATTCACTGATATTTAGCATTCTTGGAAACAGAATCAAAACACAGATCACTTTTCTAGTTGAAAGCTCTAATCTCAGCAAAAATAAGGCCCTTCTAATATGTAAGAGATCTAAATTTTACTTCTACTTTAAGCCTTACTATGTAAAACATATTAACACTAATTAAAAAACATACATTAGGCAAATAAGAATGTAAGAAGTGCATCAATGGATCACATCTCAAATAATCGAAACCTTTAAACTACATATTCTGTTGATAATATATTTTCCTTTACTTTATGCTTAATTATTAAAAAGAAAGCTTCGAAGCAACCTCATTATCATCTACATCTGTTCTTCATGTTTCTTATGAGTTACAACAGTTCATTACAATTATGGCAGTCACTGAGTAAGGAAATTACTTGAACACTAATCCTAATTACAAATAAGAAAAATGTGATGAACTGGGGAAGGGAGAACAGGAAATGGAGGAGAGACACTATCAGGTGGGAGTGTGGTGTGAAGAAAAACACCAGAAACTGCAATTCATCAAACAGGAAGTCCTGAAATCACATGACATGCAGAAAAACAAAATTTAAAAATAAATGAAAAGGGGAAAGAGAGGTGGGCAGGTTCAATAGAACCGAGAGGGGGAAATGAAAAAGGCTTTAAATGGATACATTACAAGCCTATTTAAAAGAAGAATTATTGGGGTGGTGAACACACAATACAATATAGAGATGAATTATAGAACTGTACACCTGAAACCTATATAATTTTATTAACCAATATCACCCCAATTAAGTCAATAGAATTTTTTTAAAATTTAAAAAAATTATATTTAAATAATCTGGTGTTAAGGGACTATTTTCACTATTTTCACATTAGGAGTAAATGTCCTCCTAATATTTACTCAACAGAAAAACACACAAATATCTAGCCATTAACTGTGAAAAAGATTAAAAAAATAATTTTCTTCTAAAATATAGTTTTTATGATGACCAGATTTTTTTACAGAAACAGAAAAAAGTGTATTACATTCACCATTAAGAAATACTATCTGAGTTAAATTCATCTTACCCATTAACGTTGCTAAAAGACACAAGGAGTACATTTCTTTGTCAGCCTGCTCCTGAAGTTCCTTAGATGGCAGTTTACCAGTAGCAGCAATCTCTTCTTGTTTCACAGTGTGAGCAGAGTGTGCTGCAGCAGACTGACCACCTTCTGCTTTACTTTTTAGAATCTCTATTGTAATTCTGTCACCATGCTGTAAAGGAACTGGCTCCTTTTCCATTCCTGCCTGGGGTGGCATTAACTCTTTAGGAGGAAAGCCGTATCGAATACACTGTAAATAAGGAGGAATGTTGAATTCTCTGGCTATGCTTTCCTGAAGTTCAAAAAAGGTTGTTGAAGACTTAAGTGTAACCATGGACTGTCGTCCATCATTAGTTGTTATTCGGATTTTCTTCTCTTTAGAAGTTGTTGGTGAATAGGGAGATTTGGTAGGGGTAGCAGGTGCAGAGGATGGACCATCCCGAACGGCACTGGGAGAAACAGTCCTGGGCTGCCCTTTTTGCTCTTGTTTTAACTTCTCTGTTTTCCGTTTCTGCATTACAGAAGCCTGTTCCGTAATAGTCTGTTGAATAGTTCTTTCGGTTTTACTCATGTTTAACTCCTCCTTGTGCAAAGTTTTTGTTTTCTGTCCAGTAAGAATAATTTTAGTTGGGAGCTGAGACTCTGACTCTTGTCCTTGTACATCTTCAGCTATTTGGGCATGAGCACCATCTATATTTACAGGAGTATAATCATCAGGATTCTTTTTGGCAGTCTGATGCAAGATAGTGTGGACAACTTTCTGAACTAAGATTTCACTCCCAAATTCACCAGGAAAGTGCTTGGTAACAAGTTTCATTGCAACATCATAAACATTACTATTCAAAGATGAATCACTTTCATACTGGAACCAATATACTGTTTCTCTGACCACTCTGCCACCCCATTCCAAAGTAATAGGAAAAGCTTCTGGTAGATTGTCATACTCTTTACCATCCCAAAAATGTTTGAATCCACAACCACACTTGCCACCAGTGGATCTCGAATTAGTTCTGTCCCCATCCAAATACACAATAGACCCATCTCCTCTGACCCTTCGCACAGATGTGCCATGACACCAATTACAAGCTGGTAGGCTACTTAGTCCATAGTCTGGTACCAGAACATCTTTCACTGAATCATATGAGCAAACCACACTGTTCAAGGGAAAGCTATAATTTTTGTCAGGCCTCAGCTGTCCATGAGTACTTTTTGCCAGGTTATACAGTTTCCCTCCTGGAACCAACCACTCTGAAGGAACATGAAGTTCAGAAAGGGCACCACAGAGCAAACATTTGTGAAGGCGATTATCCATTACTGCTTTTTTAGCAGCTGCTGTGACTTCTTCAGGCTGAACTCCTATCACCCCAGTCCTCCTGTAGAAATATTGATGAACATCAGCAACCAAACTGGGGTGGATACCATGTTTGTCCATAAAGACTTCTTCCATAGCAGCAACAAGCCTAAGTAAGTATTTATCCTGCAGACTTCTGTCTCCTCCAATAACACAACCACCATCCTCCTCAAGTTTGATGTACTTTTTAATAAGGTCCTGAGGCACACCCCATGCTTTAGGAAGCAAATTCATAGGCAGTTTGGGCAAAGCAGCCCCTTTTATGCCTACCAAGGGGATATAATGGTTTCTACCAGAGCTACTCCATGCAATACAAATTGGTTTGTTCAAATGACCATCTCTCCCAGTGCACTTCTCTGCAGGGATGAGCCCAGGCAGAAAAGTGGCTGAATAATCACCAGAGCTTCTCATGCCACTGAGAGAATCTAACAGAATAATAGGGCGATGTAACACATTGGCAAGACCAAATATGTGGATGTTCCTCAGGCCCAAAGGAACACCCTCAGGCGGTACAAACAAAGGGTCACACTCATTGATAATGTCTTCCCACTCAGCAGCATCAATGAAGTCATGGAACAGGGCTTGGTATCTGGGCAGGTGCTGCTGAAAGTGCTGTTTCAGATTCTCTCTCAGGGCATGCCAGAAGAGCTCCCGGCCCACTAGAGCCCGGGACACAGCATGCACCAGGCAGTGTCCATCCCCGTCCACATGCACTGGAATGAGGCATTCCTGACTTTTATTGGCCCGCTTGATGTCCTCAAGGGTGTCATGCAAATACAGGAGGCTTCCGGAGCGGTCCTTGCCATAGCCCACCGTGTTCACATGCTCTGGTTCGATGAGGAAGGCGCGGTCACCCAGTAAAGCGCAATCGAACAGTTCGCCCTGGTTCATGTCCCGGAGAAGCTTAGCCCGGCCTGTCTGTTTATCCATTCCATAGCGAGCTAAAATGGGCGACAACAATTTGCAGTGGTAGTTGGAAAGGCCCATCACCTTTACCAGTTCCGTGGTCTTCTTGGGCGCCCCGGTAACCCCCAGCAGCGCGTTCCGCAGCAGGTTGTGTAGCACTACGTCCGGGTCGGTCACCTCCTCCACCCCCAGCAGCTGCTGTTGCTCGTGCCGCTGTCCGCACTCGGTACACTCGATGCTGACAGAACCGGAGGCCGGGAAGAACAGACGCGCCTGGCACTTCGGATCTGGGCAGCTCCCGGAGAGGATTCTTCGGTCTCTCCGCTTCGAGAGCATCCCCGGAGCAGTCGCCGACAGGGACGACGAGGTGTGCGGTGCCTCAGGGGGAGGAGGTGGCGGCGGCAGCGGAGGCGGCGGCGGCGGCTGAGACATAGCTCTCGGCTCTCGAGTCTCGTTCCGCGTCCCAAGCGACCCTCAAAGGCTCATAGCCCAGACCCCCACCGGCCCAACTCGGTCTAGTCCGGGCCCAGCGCGAATCGCTTTCGTTTTCCTACCAGCTCCTCCTCCTCCTAGGCGAAGGCGGAAGCGGCGGACGTTGTTTCTCTTCTTACTTCTCCTCTGCCGGAGCCGTTGCCCCGAACGTAACGGCCACCACCCTATCCCGCACTCACACTCACTCACTCACTCTCGCTCTCTCTCCTCAGACACACAGACATACACGCCCTCACTGACAATGCGCAGGCGCAGCTTCCGCTCTGCCCTCTGGGAATTAAAGTCCTCCAGCCTCTCTCTTGGCTATCGAATACCAGAAACGTAAGTCCTGCAAGAACTACAAGTACCGAGAGGCCAGGCGGTTCAGCGTCCGCGGAGAGGAGGAAGAGGAAGGCAATAGGAAGGGGGGCAGAAAGGAAGTAGTCACTCACGTTGCCTGCCGGGAGTTGTAGTTTTATCTGGGTTGGCTTTGCTGTCTTCCCCACTCCGGGGCCCAAGCAAAGGAGTATGAGAGACCATCTTTCCTAGGATGCACTGCGGTCCATTCAGCTTCACTTCCTCTTCAGGCGGAGGAAGGATACAGGGAAGCTTTCTGGTTAAAGCCGAGTTACAGGGTATGGGTGTCGGAAGCAGAGGGTCTGAAGTTCACGCCGTCTAGAAGGGGAGGGGAATGAAAGGCTGTCAGTGAGAAGGTACAGTAAATAAATGTCCAGCGATGTGGCGGGCTGGGAAGGTGAATGAAATGGTCTTCTCTAGGCTAGCGGTCATAAGAGAAAAGGGGAAAAATAGTGGATTGATTCTCGGAGTGTTTAATGTCTTTTGTTTGTTTGTTTGTTTACTGCCATACTTTTTTATTCTCATTCTTCCCGCTATTCCAAGCCACTGAGGCGCCTGCGCCCATTTTCTGCCTTTTCTGTCTCTCCACTGAGGGTCGCAAAGGCGCCATTTGTTTCCTCCTTCCCTGGACGCCTGCAGTTTACAGTATAAATAATACCTCCTTCCCTCAAAGAGTTATAGCAGCCATCATCACATTCTTAATGTATGTCTGTCATAGCCATACACGGTATCAGTGGCTCTTCGTAATAACCTTGTTAGGAAACACGTCCCGAAAGGAAATAACATGTTCAAGTTCACAGTCCAGCAAGTGACTGGATAGGAACACACCTACATCTGTACCCATTTTACAAACAGGGACACAGGCAGGAACGGCAAGGCTAGTATCAACAAAATAGTAGCTAGCTAGCCCCTGGTTCCTATGATAGTTGTTGACAAAGAACAACCAGCCTAAGAAAAAAGTCTTATAAGAGTTTGAGCCAAACTGACACATTTGCTGGGAAGCAAAATCTCAATGGATTGAGAAAATGTTCCAGGAGATGGCTGTTTTATAGGTTAGTGTAAGCATTAGAACCAAAGGGGGAGGCAGAAGAGGGTTATGTAAAGCCCACTGGTGGTCGGTTGGAGAGGTGGGAGAAAGCACTGTGGGAAGATGTCTGAGATTGGATAAAAGGTAAAATGGAGAGACACCTTGTCCATTGGGAGGCACAGGATGACACGTACAGCACAGAGATGGCATGTGGGCAACAAGAGCAGTGTGGCCTGTGCTCTGGTGCAGGCGGCGGTGACTCTGAGGGGTCGGGAAAAGAAAGCTACACTTCAAAGGTGTGTTATCCTAGATGCACAAAGGCACAGACTGACCTCTGTCAAGGAATAAGCTACAAGCCTAGGACAGGATCACCTTCCGTGACCTGCTTTATGTTAGGAATGTCTGCATTCGGACAATGCTGTGTGGTTACTTTGGTCTCTTTGGGTTTGTTAAGACCAGCTATGGAGGCCTCCCCTGAGCTTGTCAAGTTTAGTAGGTGACCCCTTTTCATCCACAGAGTGTACATAATGTGCTCGAATACATCGTCTCGTCCTCACGCCAGTCCTGCGATACCTTTACCAGGTATGGTTGACTTCCTTTGCAGTTACCAAAACAGACTAGAAAGAATTGACTTGTCCAAGGTTCAGATCACCTGTGTTATCTCAGACTCAGTGCTTTTTACAGTACTTTTCTTTACAAAAGAAAAGAAGAGCAGTTAAGGTCAGACCTTTTGTTAAGCCTCAGGGTCTCCTTAGTAAGAACTAGAATCCATAAGGAGGTGAAAGAGCTTTATTTTCTTACTTGTGTGCTAGGAAACTGCCTTTTCATGCAAAAGCACATAGGTTAGTTGAAAGCTAGTGTTATTTAAATTATTTTACAGTCAGTCCCTTTCACTTACCAATCTGGAAATTCTTGTTTTCAAAACCTTAGATAAGTAAACTTGCTCAAAATTTCTGAAACATTTGGCACAAAATAGATAACGTAAATGCAGTCCGTGAGATCATTTGAGTCTTCCATATCTGCCAAGGTAAGGTTAGGTTTTTAGAGTAAATAGAATTAGATGCTTGAAATGAACCATCTGTAAGATATTCTCCTAAAGAGTCTTAGTATTGACTTTCACCTGGTTATTGTGTATAATTTTCTTCAAAAGACATAATATGTTGGGAAGAGAAATCCTTCAAATGTTCATTATTTTCTCGCCCAATTCTACTTTATCCATGCAAAAAAAATGTTACCTTTAAACAAGATAGGCAATGGTGTTACTGGTTCTTGCCTTCTTGAAGGAAAGATTTCAATCAAGAGACGAAGTGTAGAAAAGCAAGCAAGAATTTATTGACTGCAGCAAAAACACACTTAGGACAGTGAAACAAGGGCATAGAAAAGCAACAGGAGAGCCTAGGTCAAGGGTGGGCAACCCCTGGCACGCATGCCAAACATGGCACGCCAGTAACTTTTGCTGGCATGCGAAACCCTCTCTTATAATCTTCCATTTACAATTTTTTTCTTAATATCGACTTTTTTATTTTTCAGATAAATTCAGTGTAGGTGCATCTTAGATAAATAAATAATTTTACATAACAAGTTATCTTAAAGACCATAGACATGGATTGACGAGAGAGGGGAAGAGCAATTTCTATGCCTCTGCCTTAACTCTCCCTGCCTTCCTAGACCCAACCAGTGTTTTGGTTTCATCCACATACACTTGTGAATCTTTGTTCTCAGTGAAGAATTTTGTTAAGTCTCATAATAGGAGTAGCCTGACGGATGAAAGTAGTAGCGTATCTCTGAAATATAAACCTGATGTAAAATCTCTGTCATCAGTGATGCAGCAGCAAAAGTCCCACTGATAATATCAAACGGAGTCATAAAGTTTTCTGTCGGACTATCAGTGTACATGTATACATTAATAAATAAATGTATTTTTCATCATCATATACAGTGGGGCCTTGACTTACGAGTTTAATTCGTTCCGGGACCGAGCTCGTTAAGGAGCTCGTTAACTCAAATTACTCTGTCAACTCAATGCAAAAAGCAGCTGAGAGACAGCTGGTATCTCAAAAAACTCATTAGTCGGGACACTCGTAAGTCAAGGCCCCCCTGTACTGTGTTTTTGTCGCTTGAATGAATTTTATTATTTCTTCAAGGTTCTTCACATACGTACACCTTAAGAGATATCAAGCAGGCGTAACATGTTCTCAAAAATTTAGGGTTGGCACGCAGAAGAATTTTGAGTCAGAGATTTTGCTGGTTTTGGCACGCACTCACAAAAAGGTTGCCCACCCCTGGCCTAGGTGGTCTTCTTTACATCACTGAGAAATTAGAGAAAAGAGAGCCTTGGCAACAGATTGGGGGGGTTAGCCAGGGATGAGCTGCCACTGCCCATTGCTCCCCTGGGTGCAAGTCTCATGAGTCCCTTGAAGTTTAGGAAATAAAGTGCCTGTGGGGAAAGGGAATGGCATAGGCATGTTCCCTGGAGGGAGATCACACTGGGACCTTCATTTTCAGGAGTTTTAAAGGCTGGGCTTTTAGGGGAGTTCTTAGGGGATCAATAGAATTTTCACCAGCTTTATGCTAATGTACCAAGATGAGATTTATTCTCTTAATTTGTCTGTTCTTGGGTGTGGTTGGGAAATGGCACTAATTGGATTTCTGTTTTCTGTCTCCCTGAATAGGTGATTTAAGCTATTTACCCTCTGGTTGGGGAGAGGTGCAAACCATTTACTCTTAAGTTTCCTTGGTTTAGGGAAGATAGGATTTATTATGGGGCTGCAAACTGCTGTTTGACTATCTTCCTTAGTTTCCCTGTTCTGCTTGTCCTGGAATTTTCCAGCTTCTTACTATCCTATAACAATGGTATTTACCCTGAAGGGGATCATTTTCAACAAAGTTTTTCATAAAGAATTAATTTATGCAGGGAAAGTGGTTTATATCTGTATTGACAATAGTTTGGTAATTGCTTAAGTGGTCTTGGAACTGATTTTTAATCGAGTGTTTATAAGTTGAGAAATTGGATATGTCCTTTAAGTGGAAATAATTTTTGCCGTGACTGAGAAGGTACACCTGCAGTAAAATTTCATTTTTCTCATTCAGAATTCAAACAATTGAATTATTAACACCTCAGAGCATGTGAAGGCTGGCAGCAGTGTGCAATTCGAACACTGTCATGCATTTTTATGTCTTATCTTCACCAATCCAAATTTTCCTTATGAATATGAACTTATGAGTGATACATATGAACAGTGAAGTAGATATTTTTAAATTGCACCTGAATATGTCATTCTGAATCATACCTTGACAAAATAACCACTTCCCATCCTACTGAAAAAATGGGCAGCCTTCCTCTGGTTTGTCAAGCACAATCCACTTGATTGATCTAGTGCTAATTTCCCTATGTGGGGCCTTGATTAGGTGGAAGCATTCTTCTCAAACTAAATTTGATATTTAAACCCATTGGTCACTATAGTTCTTCTAGTTTTAAGAATTATACTTTTGAGGGGGGGAAATAGAAATACCTTGGTGTAAAGCATATTTAATTGATGGGGGGAGGAGGGGGAGAGTAAGTTTTCAGGCAATTCTAGAATTAAATTAGATCATTTAACCTGAAAATCACTTCATTAATGAATCTGTAAATGCAGTCAAAGTTCTCAGAGTAAGAAAGCTAACATAAATAAACAAAGGGTGATGATATTAACCATGCCAAGTTCAACTTGTGAATCAATTGGCTGCCTTCAGCATGTATCCTGACCGGGGACCGAACTGCCAGGGCATGTGCTCTGACCAGGAATCGAACTGGGGACCTTTCAGTACACAAGATGATGCTCAACCAATTGAGCTACAGTGACCAAGGTGGGTAATACTGTTTCTTATAAGGCCATAAGAGTGCTGAAAGCTTTTAATCTACTTACATGAGATACACATGCTTCCTTCCTCTTCCTCCAAAATTCCCTGATCTTAATTGCCTAATAATGTTCATAAGATCTTTGTGGGATGCATAATAGTTCTTGTCTCAGTATTACAGATGGGGAAAATGAGCTGGGCACCTAATGTTAGCAGCTCTGATATATAACTCTTCTACCACCATCACCCTAGCAGCACTTGTATCTGAATTACAAAATTCACTTAAAACTAAAATTCGTTTATCCCCCATAATTTCTATTATGGCACTTTTAAACTTGCTGGGTTGCTTTTAACAAACCTAGTAAATGTAAAAGCTAAAGACATCTACTTAACATAAAAACAAGGCATCCACTTCACAACAGAACAGGTGTCGATGTTTTTTCTCTTTTAAATTGCAAGAGGAAGTGAAGTATCACAGAGAAGTTATATCCAAGGGTGGAAGGAGGACTTTAGGACCAAGAATTGCAGAGAGTATTTGAAGAAGAGTGATCGGCAGTATTGGGGGATTGTTTTAAGTCAGCTACATTCTTTCTCCTGTGAAATGTTCATCTGTACCAAGAGTTGACTATTTACTCCCGATCTCTACCCCAGACAATCAGATGTCAAGTTAGTTACAAGCTTTTGTTGAAGTTTGGGGTGGATGTGGGAGGGACTTAATTACTGAAGTAGCTATTATAGGAACTTAAAGGCTAGCCCTATCCCAAAGGAGCTTACATTCTCATAGAAGAAACAGCCTGATCTAAACTGTTTATAAATACAAGTAGAATAAAGCATATAATCAATCAAAACGACACAGGAAAACAAATATCACAAATTCTGTGAAAAATGTATTGAGGGCTTATAAGGCAGGTGCTTTTAAGTATATTACCTTGATCTTTAAAACAATCCTGTGAGATAAATAGCATTGTCCTACCTATGAGAAGATGTAATGGAAAGGTTAACATTCTTATGCCCTGTTCATAAGGGCAGCGAGTTTATTGATTGTTGGATTCCCTGGGCCAAGCACACAGTAGCCTCAATAAATATTAAGTGAATGAATGAATGGCTATCATCCACGGCAGTATTTCAACTACCAGTGTGGCTCGGTAGTTGAGCATCGACTGTGAACCAGGAGGTCACCGTTCGATTCCCGATCAGGGCACATGCCCGGGTTGCGGGCTCGATCCCCAGTGTGGGGCATGCAGGAGGCAGCCAATCAATGATTCTCTGTCATCATTGATGTTTCTAGCTCTCTCTTCCTCTCTGAAATCAATAAAAATATTTTTTTAAAAAATTTTTGTGTTGCTATTTTGATACTAAAACAGTGACATTGTTTGTGATTTTCCAGGTGAACACCTTAAAACATGAAGTTTTGAGTGCCTGAGTTCATGTTGAGTTTAGGATCTTGTTTCTATCAGATAAAAACTAAAGGACATCATGACACAGTGTAGTAAAGAGTTCACAGTAATTTTGATAGCTAGTGGAGTCATCACATGTCACACAGTAGCCTAGACAGGCCAAGATCGAAAGGACCAGCACTGCCCGGCCGGTGTGTGTCAGTGGTTGAGCCTCCATCTATGAACCAAGAGGTCATGATTTGATTCCTGGTCAGGGCATATGTCCGGGTTGCAGGCTCGATCCCTAGTAGGGATCGTGCAGGAGGCAGCTGCTCAATGTTTCTGCCTCTCCCTTCCTCTCTGAAATCAATAAAAATATATTTGAAAAAGAAGTTGCTTTAAAAAAAAAAAAGAACCAGCACTTCACCTGTCAGTGCCACATTCCAGTTAGAAGCAGACATTGCACAAAACACACACATAGACATATGCTTATATTCACAACAACTTGGTAGCTGTAAGAGAACCAGTAAATACACAATGAAAAATTGGTTCCCAGCAATAATTATATTAGATACTATTTAATTCAGATCGCAAATACTCAAAAATAGTAACCCTATCGCCGGCTTGGCTCAGTGGATAGAGCGTCGGCCAGCGGACTGAAGGGTCCCTGGTTTGATTCCGGCCAGGGGCACATGCCTGGGTTGTGGGCTCGGTCCCCAGTGGGGGGCATGCAGGAGGCAGCCGATCAGTGATTCTCTCTCATCATTGATGTTTCTATCTCTCTCTCCTTCTCCCTTCCTCTCTGAAACCAATAAAGAAATATATTTTTTTAAAAAATAGTAACCCTATCTTATAGTGAATAAGACTGCTTTACAGAGTTATCAAGTGATGGTCAATTAAAATTCGCATTCCAATATTTTTTAGCACTAGAATCTTTACTAAAACATAAGAACTAATTATCTAGCCTTGGCTGGTATGGCTCAGTTGGTTGGGCATCATACTGTGCACCAAAAGGTTGCTGGTTCGAGGAGGGCACAGGCCAAGTTTTGGGCTCAATCCCCAGTAGGGGGCATGCTGGAGGCAGCTAATCAATGTTCAGCTCTCACATCGATGTTTCTCTTTCCCTCTAAAAATCCATAAAAATTTTTTTTAAAAAAGGAACTAATTATCTAGAACGAGCAGCAAAGACCTGGGAAGTATCATTTGCATTGACATTTTAAAGTAAACAATACAGAGACACATTTAATATAGATCAGAAGTGGAATCAAAATGCTCATAAATTTAACACTTTACAATTCAAGTTAACATTAATTTTAAATGGCTGGACCAAATAACCACTGCAATTATAGTACCTCTGCCTCCTCTTCTTTTTCCCTTTATTTAGAACTCAGGGGTTACTTTTGGTGTAAAAGAAAATAAAGTTCACAAATTTAGCATCTTCATTCCAGTAACAACTTTGTGTTTCTGTAGAAATGGGCTGACCTCTTTTCCTAAACCTTCTAGTTCTATCACAAATACAGTCTAATTCAGTTCCTTTCAAAAGTAAGGCAAAGGTCAGAACAAGTAGTATCAGACACATTGTCCATATGTGTAGTTTCATTAAGTGTCATATTTTAATAGGTGAGAGAAGAACATACTTTTTTAGCCCTGTGAATCATTTACATATACGTTTTAGAGTATTCCACAGTATAAGTGCATCATAGTTGTGATGTACAAGAATTTAAACCCAACACAGTCTGCAAGCAGGAGTTTTTATTTAATTGGGCAGCAATATACGTTCTATCGTTGTATCCCTGGCCAGGTGGCTCGGTTGGTTGGAGCATCGTTCAGTGAACAGGGGTTTCAGGTTTGATCCCCAATCCTCGGTAGAGGTATCTGGGGGAGGCAATCGATTGATGTTTCTCTTTCACATCAGTGTTTCTCTCTCTATCCCTCTTCCTCTCTCTCTCTAAAAATCAGTAAACATATCCTCAGGTGAGGATTGGGGAAAGGAAATATATATATAAAGTATTGTAGGAAATGATATGTATGTGCTAAATTAAAGCATTGGCACTAGGTGTCAGCAAATCACAGTATCAGAGAGCACCTCAAGTTGAACATTGGTAAAATAGCAATAAGTGGACAGTATTTCACAAGGGCTCATCTCAATCAGCATTTTCCCATTCAAATACTAATTTCATCTACCTTGACATTTGTGAAGGTGTGCTCCATGAATTCGGTGGATATTAATAGGTATCATGTTGAGGGAAGGTTCCTATAGTCAAGTAAGTTTAGGAAATGATGAGTAAATTAAGTTTTCTTTTTTTTCCACTGTAGGTCTTCTCAGAAGCCTTCTATGCTGATGACATTGTGACTCTTTCAAGAGAGCAGCAGTGATGGCTCCAGAATGTCTAGGGAGAGGAAGAGCTTAGTGTCAAGAGTCTGCTCACAGCACAAGATACTCTAGGATGTGTCCTTCAGCTACATCTGTTTTGCACACTTTCATTTAGAGCTATACCAGGTATTTGGGGGTGATCTAGAGAAGCTAATAGAGATAATGGGGGTGTTTAGTGCCCTAAGCCATCCCTTAGGACAATTATTGATATATAGCATTTCCATACTTTGGCTACAAAAACATTTTGAATCTGTATCAGAGGCACACATTTTAGAAAAAAACAACTGAACAAATAGTATCTCTCATTATGGTCTCTAGTTGTATCAGTGTGCTTGAAAAGGAGTTAATGTTTGTCCATATTTTCTGATAATTTATGGAGGGTTTTTTTTCGTTTAATGTTTTATATTTTTGTATGTGATTTGAGGGATTCAACTTATCTTTTTATTTTCTATTGCAAAATACCAATTGTCCCAAAACCTTGCTTTAAATGTGGTTTTGGGTCCTAGCCGGTTTTGCTCAGTGGATAGAGCACTGGCCTGTGGACTGAAGGGCCCTGGGTTCAGTTATGGTCAAGAGCACATGCCTGGGTTGTGGGCTTCATCCTCTGTAGGGGGCATGCAGAAGGCAGCCAATCAATGATTCTCTCTCATCATTGATGTTTCTATCTCTCCTCCCTTTCTCTCTGAAATCAATAAAAAATATCCTATACAATAAAAGCATAATATGGAAATCAACTGAACGGCTGAACAGCGGAACGACCGGACGACCATCCAGGACCACGCTGTGACACCCACTGGCTCCAGGCTAGCCAAGGCAGATGCGATGCGATTGGTCTGGGCCCGGCCATCACCCCAGATCGACCCGCAGAGGGATGCCCAGGCCATCAGCCAGCGGGATGATCAATCGGGGGGCTCCATGATCGCCCAGAAGAAGGAGGCCCAGGCCACTGACCAGTGGGCTGCAGCGGGTGGGTGGGGCCTTCCTCTGCGAGGGAAGCCTGGGTCCCGGGTGCCGGAGAGAAGCTGTTGCCGGCAGCTGGGGGAAGGAAGGCCTACTCTTTTTTTAAAAAAATATATTTTATTGATTTTTTTTCAGAGAGGAAGGGAGAGAGATAGTCAGATACATCAATGAGAGAAAACATCGATCAGCTGCCTCCTGCACACCCCCCACTGGGGATGTGCCCACAACCAGGGTACATGCCCTTGACCAGAATCGAACCTGGGACCTTCCAGTCCACAGGCCGACGCTCTATCCACTGAGCCAAACCGGTAGGGCGGAAGGCCCACTCTTGCATGAATTTCATGCATCGGGCCTCTAGTATTTAATAAAAGGAAAAAAAAAACTTAGTTAAATGTGGTTTTGGTTTTGTTTCCAGGTTCAGAACTCTTCAGATCAACTTACCAGTAAGTTGAATATGTAAAACAGATAAGCGCAGTTGAAATGGGGCCAGATAAGAGTTATTTCAACCTGATAGCATCCCTGCCATCATTCCTACCCTCCATCCCTTTCTCCCCGCACCCCCCCCCCCACCACCACCACCAGAAGAAGCTCCAGAGGGTACTTTGGAAACCATTGGAAAAATTCATCCCATCATATATAACTTAAAATGCCACATCTTTAATATGCTACATTAAAATTTTTACTTATTTCAATTATTTTTCTATTTTCTACCGAGCTCATACTCTAATTTATGGAGCCTAAGAACTTTATTATATAACAAAAGAAGAAATTGAAACATCTAATAAGCAAGTAAAATAACAACATGGGGTCCTTGGGGGCCTATAAAATTAGCATATTTCTTTAGAATAGTACCCATTATTGGCAGTAGTTGACTAAATACCTTCAATACAGAGATTAACTTGGTAAAACTATGTGTTGGTTGATAATTTTATAATATGTGTTACCAGTATACAACGGTGATATTCTTCAATCCACCAAAGAACTACGATTTAACCCTAAAGAAATAACCAGAAATGTATGAAAATGTTTTTATATTGATAGTATTGAAAAATGAACCAAATATTTAATAATGAGGGACTGGTTAAATAAATCCTAGCTCAGTCATAACACAGAATACTCTTCGGCCATTACAATGATGTTGTAAAGAAAAATGTGCCATACCAAGCACCTTAATTATATTGTCTTATTTTAAGCCTAACTATATCTCTAGATGATAGGTATTATTATTCTATTTATAGATGAGAAAACCTAGAAGTAAAGTTAAAATAGCTAGTAAAGTTTTGTTGCTAAAATTCAGCCCATTTTGCTCTTAATCCTTGTTCTTTTTTTTTTTAAATATATTTTATTGGTTTTTTACAGAGTGGAAGGGAGAGGGATAGAGAGTTAGAAACATCGATGAGAGAGAAACATCCATCAGCTGCCTCCTGCACACCCCCTACTGGGGATGTGCCCGCAAGCAAGATACATGCCCTTGACCAGAATCGAACCTGGGACCCTTGAGTCCGCAGCCGACGCTCTATCCACTGAGCCAAACCAGTTAGGACTTAATCCTTGTTCTTAATCACTGTCCTACTGATATGGGGAAATATTTATTTTTTTACTAAGTTGGTTTTTTGTTTGTTTTTTAATCCTCACCTGAGGATATTTTTCCATTGATTTTTAGAGAGAGCGGAAGGGTGGGAAAAAGAAATAGAGAGAGAGGGAGGGAGGGAGGGAGGGAGGGAGGAAGGAAGGAAGGAAGGAAGGAAGGAAGGAAGGAAGGAAGGAAGGAAGGAAGGAAGGAAGGAAATAGACACATCAACTGATTGCCTCCCACACTTGCTCTAATTGGGGGTCAAACCTGCAATCCAGGTATGTGCCCTTGACTGGGAATCAAACCTGAAACCCTTTGTTGCTGGGGGCTGACACTCTAACCATTGACCAACAAGGCCAGGGCTAAGTTATTGTTTTAATGCCGTTTAACTGATTAAATAAACAAACAAACCTTTCCTCCTATATGCAATCACTTCTTCCTTTCCAAATTTACTAATGCTTGGAAATCCTCCCACCCCCCACCCCGCCCAAGTGAATCTACTTTATGCACTCTTTTTTTTTTTTTTTTTTTTTTTTTTTTTTTTTTTTAAATTAAATCTTTATTGTTCAGATTATTACATTTGTTCCTCTTTTTTTTCCCCCCATAACTCCCCTCCTCTCAGTTCCCGCCCCACCCTCCGCCCTCACTCCCCACCCACTGTCCTCATCCATAGGTGCACGATTTTTGTCCAGTCTCTTCCCGCATCTCCCACACCCCTTTCCCCCCCAAGAATGGTCAGTCCATTCCCTTTCTATGTCCCTGATTCTATTATAATCACCAGTTCATTCTGTTCATCAGATTATTTATTCACTTGATTCTTAGATTCACTTGTTGATAGATGCATATTTGTTGTTCATAATTTGTATCTTTACCTTTTTCTTCCTCTTCCTCTTCTTAAAGGATACCTTTCAGCATTTCATATAATCCTGGTTTGGTGGTGATGAACTCCTTTAGGTTTTCCTTATCTGTGAAGCTCTTTATCTGACCTTCAATTCTGAATGATAGCTTTGCTGGATAAAGTAATCTTGGTTGTAGGTTCTTGGTATTCATCACTTTGAATATTTCTTGCCACTCCCTTCTGGCCTGCAAAGTTTCTGTTGAGAAATCAGCTGACAGTCGTATGGGTATTCCCTTGTAGATAACTGAGTTTCTTTCTCTTGCTGCTTTTAAGATTCTCTCTTTGTCTTTTGCTCTTGGCATTTTAATTATGATGTGTCTTGGTGTGGTCCTCTTTGGATTCCTTTTGTTTGGGGTTCTCCGCGCTTCTTGGACCTGTAAGTCCATTTCTTTCACCAGGTGGGGGAAGTTTTCTGTCATTATTTCTTCAAATAGGTTTTCAATATCTTGCTCTCTCTCATCTTCTGGCACCCCTATAATTCTGATGTTGGTACGCTTGAAGCTGTCCCAGAGGCTCCTTACACTATCCTTGCATTTTTGGATTCTTTTTTCATTTTGCTTTTCCGGTTGGGTGTTTTTTGCTTCCTCGCATTTCAAATCATTGACTTGATTCTTGCGCTCCTCTGGTCTGCTGTCGGGAGTCTGTATAATATTCGTTATTTCAGTCCGTGTATGCTTAATTTCTAGTTGGTTCCCCAATATAAGATCGAGGGTCTTATTAGTTTTCTTGTAGATCTCATTAAGTTTATCGGCGGCTTCTAAACAGTTCTTGAGAGACCTTAAAAGTGTGGTTCTGAACTCTATATCTTCCATTGACAATTTTGTCCTGTTTCTTTGTCTCCGCATTTTGTTATGCTTCCTTGGTGCACCCCCTAGTGGTCTTTGTTCGCAGTCTTATAGTTAAATCTTGATTGTTGTAGTTAATTCCAGGGAGGGTTTGACCTCCAGGCCAAGTGGCTATGAGAATCAGCTGTGTCAGCAGTGAGAGAACTTCTGTCCTCTAGGGAGGTGCTAATCTAGCCTTTGCCTGAGGCTATCCAGCAAATGCCTGTGTGCAGGGCTTGGGCGGGGCGGGTCGCACAGGATCAACAGGGTGGGCCGGAGAGAGCAGTTATGGCGGCTCTCAGTCCTGTCCCCAGGGGCTCTGCCTCTCTGAGTCCCAGCACCCGCTGCAAAGCTCAGAGAGAATGCTGCACTCACTCTGACCGAAGCCAGACAGTCCCGCTTCTCCCGTTTGAGTCTGGGTCCCTAAAGACTCGCCCGGATCTGGAGCTCAGAGTCTGGGACTCCCTCCCGATTGAAAACGCCAACCGCGCCCTCCGCCGCCAGCCCGCTCCGCGCACTCCACACCTCAGAATTTGACTTCAGCACTGTGCCTCCTCTGAGTGTCCGTATGCGTTTCTCTTTCCTCCTAGTTGTAGGACTTCCACTCAGCCAGCGTTCCTGTGGTTCTGGGTGATGTCCCTTCCGTTTTTTGGTTTCACTTTTGAAGTAGTTGTTCAGAGCAGCAAACTCCGGCGTTAACCTATGCCGCCATCTTGGTTCTCTCTACTTTATGCACTCTTAAAATTGATTTTGGAAGTATTAAATGTCTGCTTGAAGAACTCAAACAATACTGAAAATTATAAAGTAGATGCATCTTTAATCATAAAATATATATTTGCATATGATTGGAAATACTTGTGGGCTCTGTTTTATATTCCATAAATTCTCTCTCTTCTTACTCGGAGGTCCACTTTATAGGCCTGGTTGGAGATGGAAACAGACCAGAAAGGCAAACTAGGTGGAGGGATGTAGGTCTGGATGGCTAACTTTAACACAGAAGAGTCCATTTGTACGTGGTATAGCATGGCGGTTCTGGAACCTGACTGGCTAGATTGAAGTCCCAGCTTTTGAGAGAGCTTGTTTGGAGGTTCTAGCAGGGGAGCGCAGCTACTTGTATAACCTTGACCGAAGACTGGTCCTCTCCTGGGGCGGAGAAGGTCGTCCTCTTCGACTGAGCGCGCAGCTTCAGGAGGGATGCACATGGATCAATGAGGGAGGAGGGGGACACCCGCCTAGCTAGCCAGATCAGCCGAATCAACCCTGGCGATCAATGGGGTGACAGATGTCGCAGCCAGATCGCCCTCACATCCATGAAGTCCCAGCTTTTGAACTTGGGTAACTTGTTTGTCCTCTCGGTGCCTCCGTGTCTTCATAAAATTAAGGTGGTCATTGAACCTACCTCATAAGATTGTGATTAGGAATAAATTAATTAATGCATGTCAAGTGCTTAAAACAGTGCCTGGAACATAGTCAGTACTCAGTCATCCTATATAATAAAAGGCTAATATGCAAATTGTCCCCTCGGGAGTTCGACCAACTGGGAGTTCAACCGCTCGCTATGATGTGTGCTGACCACCAGGGGGCGGCACAGAATGAAGGAAGACCCTGGCCAGCAGCTGGCAGCCAGGGAAAGGAAGGCCTTAGCCAGAAGCTGGAAGGCCCCAATCAACCCTGATTGTTGGCCATGGCTAGGGACCCTACCCGTTCACAAATTTTGTGCACCAGGCCTCTATTTAGATATAATTGTCAAGATGATGATGAAGAAGGAGACAGAGAAGATTCTGCACAGGTTCAGAGATGGGAAAGAAAAGAAAAATAACTTATGAGTGCTTACTATGTGCCATATACTTACATGATCTTCCTATTTGATCTGAGTTAGATATTTTCATCATTCCCTTTTTATGCAGATGTGGAATCTAAAATTCAGGGAGGTTACATATGGAAGCAGTAGACTGAATCACTAGACCCATTTCAAGAACTATGAACAAGATAAATACTGAAAGTCACCTGGCCAGGAGATAGCAAAATACTGAGGAACGACACGAAAAATAGGCCTACAAAGTCATGACACCCTTTGGGACCAAGGGGGCAGTGTTTAACATTCAGGACTGGTTGTGTGCCCAGTCTGAGATCAGAAAACTGCTTTGGGAATCCAACTGGTGTATTTTCAGTAAACACTTTGTTTTGTTTTCCTTAGTTTGTGCTAAAATTATTTCTGAATTTTCAGTCTATTTGATTTGTGCTTCGAGGGAGCAAAAAGGAAAAAGGAGCCCTGGCCGGATGACTCAGTTGGAGTGTCATTCCGTACATCAGAAAAGGATGCAGGTTCAATCCCTGGTTGGGGTTTGTACTCAATAATCCTCAGGTGAGGTTTTTTAAAAAAGAAAAGGGAATCTG